AGGGAGTCTGCTTCTCCTTCTGCCCCCCTCCCCTCATGCTCTCTCTCTCGACTAAAAAAATAAATAAATCTTAAAAAAAATAAACTATACATTCTATTTAAAGGTAATGTTTATACTAATATTTTCACAGCTTATTTTCATGTGTTGGGCTATTCTTAAAAGAATAATTAGGTGGGGATGCTTTTCTTATTTTCTTTGCTTCACTTATCTCAAGGGTTCTCAATCCTGACTGCACATCATACTCTGGAGAGCTTTAAAATTGCTCATTCCCAGGTCCAACCCCTGCAAAATATGGTTTCATTACTCTGAGGATGCACTGTGGGCATCCATAAATTGTAAAGCTCCACAGTGATTCTAATGTGCAGCCCGAATGAGAACCACTGAATTTAACCAAACCCAAAAGAACCTGTGGCCTTCTGAGACTATAACCCAGGAAACGCCACGTACGCGGTGGCAGAGTATCAGTAGGAAACAATTCTGGAAACTAACCTTGCACAACTGACTTATAAAGTTATAGCAAACCACGTAAAGGATTAACCAAATCCTTCGATCTCAAAAACTTCTGAAAATCTAGTCACTTCTCTTTCCTCTTTCCATTTTTCCAAATCAAAGGCTTCAGACAGATTATCTTTAAGCAGGTTTCAAAGGACTCCCACTGAAATTGAAATGTTGGTAGTTTCCAGCAGATACCAGAATGAACCTGATATGAAGAACTGCTCCTGAAGCGTCAGAATTACCTATTGATCCTATGATGCTTTAAATTATACAGAAGGAGGAAAAGAAAAAAGGAAGGAAGAGAAGGAAGGAAGGAAGGAAGGAAGGAGGAAGCTCTTTTGAAAGAATATTCAATTTTTTTTTCTGTTGAGCTGATTTTAAGCAGAAACCATTCAAAAGGGTAATTTTTATGGACACCAATTTCTGAGTCTAAAAGTGAAAGGGCAAATTAAAGAATAAACTTCAGACCTCATAGTCCATATGGTACAGGTGCCGTAAATATAGGACACTGGGAACGTCCTACAGAGGTGAGTTAGCTCGATTTGTTGAGAGAGAGCAGGAAGATCAAGGTGAACTTACACCTCCATGTAAGTCAGTTTCACTTCCCTATATTCTCCAACCCATTGACAGCACCCCTAAATCCAACCAGCCATTTTAGAAACAGTGTTCTCTTAAACGATAGAGAAATGTAGTGAGAATCAATGAATGGCTCAGGGCAGATCTTCCCACTAACTGGAAAAAACCAATGGCCTTTATGTATGAGGGATGGCAGAGTTCCACCATAGTACCTTTGGTTCTTCTATCAGTTAACCAGGAAAACAAGAGTTTGCCTTTTCACAACAGACAATCCAGTAAGAATTTAACACATAGGCTGCTTCTTCTTTCTCTTTGGTTTTGCTTGGGTTTCCACAAATAATCAGTGTGGTATGATGAGGCTATCCAAAAACTATCCTCAGAGTTTACTCTTGGTTTCCCAAACAAGGAGCCAGTGTAGTCCAGGGGCTCCCCCTCTCCCAGTGGGAGAGCCTGCACTGAGATTCACTTTCCACAGCAGTGCCTTGAGAGTACCTGATCCTTGGCAGCTGGCTTTCTAGAAGACCTCCTAAAAGAAAAGCTGACTCCTATTTCCAGACTGACCAGTGCCCAAATAGACTATTTTTCCCTCCACTGACAAAGTGACTATCCCTGTTACCTATGGAAAGGGGACACAACAGGGTGTTATGTTCCTATCCTGGAACACGAACTCATCATGAGCCCAGGAATCCTCTCTATGAATGAAAGGCATATGGGACCCCTGTCTTCTCTTGCCAACCCTCGTAGTTTATCTCTGCCAAGCTTTCTGGTCCACCTATGGGCAGCTGGCAAACCCACAATGACCTCATTCATGTGTCTGAGTGTTAGCTGGCTTTTGACTGGCGTACACCTCAGTTCTCCTCCACATGGCCTCTCACTCTCCACTAAGCCCATGTATTATTTTGCTAGGGCTGCCGTAACAAAATACCACAGGCTGGGGGCTTAAGCAACAGACATTTATTTATTTCTTCCCAATTCTGGAGGCTAAAAGTCCAAGCTCAAGGTGGCAGCAGGTTTGGTGTCTTCTGAGGGCCTCTGTCCTTGGCTGATAGATGGCCATCTTGTCCCTGTCTTCCCGTGGTCTCCCCTCTGTGTGTGTCCATATCCTAATCTACTCTTCTTATAAGGACTCCAGTCCCACTAGATTAGAGCCCATGCTAGTCATCTTATTTAACTTTAATTACTACTTTAAAGGCTCTATCTCCAAATCTAATCACATTCTGAGGCATTGGAGGTTAGGACTTCAACAGATGAAGTTGGGTAGAGGGACACAATTCATCCCGTAACAGCTTACATGTGCTCATTCATCTCATGGTCTCAGGGTTCCAAGCACAGCAAGAGAAGTCCCAATATACAAGTACTTTTTAAACCTCTGCATGTGTTGCATTGCTTAAGTATCATGGGCCCAAGGTGGTCTCAAGGCCAGAGTCAGTGTAGGGTGGCACTATCAAAGGACTGGGATAGAGGGAGGGGAATGATCTGTGGCCACTT